ATATTATTAAGAATATTGAAAAAGTACTTAATATTCTAGATATTAAAAAAAAAATATTTAGGACCAATTTCTTTTGTTATTTAAAAATTTGTAATTTTTTTCTTAATGCAGATATGTAATAGACTAAGTTCTACATATCATTAGCCATAGCTAAGTTAATCAATTAATCAGCGAAATGGAAATCATTTTTAACTTATGATCTGTGGGATTTTTAGATTTTCTTAAGATTATAGTATACTGAATATTAATGTATATAAATAAGCTATATAACTATAACAAATACTGCTCACACTTTTCACTCAGTTAGGCTCTCGTGTTTAGATAATTGAATAGCCTGACCAGCTATGATTACATCAATCCAATTTTCGACTATTCTAGAAACCTAATGTGACACATTTGTCAGTCTAACTGGCTGTAGCTCCTTTTCGTTGGGCATTCGTGTCACTGCATCGCATTCAAAATCAATTTGTGAATCCAGCTCTTTGTTGCATACGGAAGTCAAGTAGAATTTTTGGTTGTTTTATTTTTGGGGTAGAGCTCGGGCATGAATTCGTAGCTCATTTAGTTTGACATTTAGCTGATGCTACAGTTGCAGGAGCTCTATGTGTACTATATACATATATACATAATATATATATATAGGGGCATGAGCATGGCATGCATATTATATATTAATGTATGGACAAAAGATAGAGAAAGAGAGATAGAGCGAGAGAGGTAAATAGAGAGAGAGAGAGATAGTACGACTGTTGAAATATTCATTAGGCCTGAGTGCAGTGACAGAAATTATGCCTGCGTGTCGCTCTGCGGACAACATTGGAATGTTGTTGCTGCTGATGATGTTGATGTTGTTATTGTTGCTGTTGACGTTGTTGCTGTGGCACTACTCGCACGTGCGTCATATAGCTGAGGCAGAATGCCGCAGCAAATGCCGGCACGAGGCGCATTCAATTTGCGCATTTGGCTTTTTAAAAAATGCATTAAAGGCGCGTGCAGCAGCGACAGCCACCTCAAATAACTGGCTAACGTGAATAACGTGCCCCAAATGCAAGCCACAGACGGACAGGCAGACAGAGAGACAGAAAAAAAAAATGTGGACGAAAGTTGCGATGAAAGCGCGAAAATTACTTCCTAAATAGCCGCCTGACTGGCTGTCAAGACGCTACAGAAAAGGAAGAGGAGCTGGAGCTGGAGCAGGAGACGGAGACGGAGACGGAAGACACAAGCAGGAGACAGTCGACAGGCAAGACCAGAGACCAGACACGAGCCCAATAAAGGATATGCATATATAGTAGCAGGAGACAGAGGCCACAGACGAATTCAAATTGCAAATTCGCCGCAGATTTTTTATGCACTTTTCCCTAGACCAAAATTAAGCCAAGCGAACGCTGCGGAACGAAACGAACTCCAGACGGGTAAAGCCACGACACACACACACACACACAGAGAGAGGACGGGGATGAGGATGAGGACGAGGACGTCGCTGACATTTTTGACGACAAAATAAAAATATAAGAAGCAGCAGCGGCAGCAGAAAAGCCGAAGAAGAAGAAGCTACTGCAACAAGGATGACAGCACAACTGAATGCAAATATTATCGTATCTGTATGCGAGAGACGCTGAAGGCAGAGCCTCAGCACACAGGGCAGACCCCGTTTCAGAAGCGAAAAGGTGACAAACTGGCCGAACGGAATATGGCTTCAGTTAGGGTTGGGGTGTGATAGGGAAATGTCTATATATATGTATATATCTGTCTGTTTCACAGTCTGTATATATGTACATATATATATACCTGCCTTTGCCGCCTTCCAGCTAAATGCATTTCGGTTTTATTCATATTTTATTCAAATGTGGCAACCAAAATGGCACAAACACTGCGCAGTTATTTATGTTTCGTTTTCTACTATCCTGTGCAGTACTCTCTCTCTCTCTCTCTCTCT